TAAGGCATTGGGACAGTTGTCTTATCAAAACTTTACTTGGCCTTGTGCCAGATTTAAACTGCTGGATAGAAAGACTTGCTTGGTTTCCCTGCAGATATAAATGAAGGATTGAAAAATAGCACTTTTCTGATTGAATCGGCAAACAGTGCCAGATTCAAATGAGGGACTGAGAATACTGCTTTCTGATTGGTTTTGTGTGCTCAGGAGCCATGGAGTCATTTTGTGTCCCGTGTTCTGTGCATGTTCTCTGGGTTTTTATGACCTTTGACATATTCTGCCCAGTTGTCTGGTTTGCGCCAGCACTAATCTCCTACCTCATTTATGGTTCAGTTTGGAGATCTCAGCCTTGCCCCAGTTGGGCTATGTGTTGTGGAGTGACCAAATACCATTAGCTGAATGGGTGGAATCAATTTGAATTGCTGAATAATTTTAAAACATTTTAAACATATTTGGATTCACATAGGTTTTTTTTTCTAGTATTTTCCTACTCACATATCTTGAAAACTGTCATAATTTATCTCTTTCCCTGATTGGGTATTTTAAGTCTTTTCCTTTTCTAACCCCTCTGATATTGATCTGTAACTCAGTATACTTCAGCTATAACATCTTAGGATCTCATTTTCAGACCTTTCAAATAAATTACTTATTTATATGAAGGAACCATAATTGACTTTTTGGTCAAGAAACCCAATTCACCAAAGTGGCTGGGGAGAGACCTAGTTCATTTTGCTCTATTATCAAATCAATGTTCAAACAATATTTTAGGATTATTTATTTTCCTGAATATAAGAAAAATGTCAAGATTTATTTCCCATCTTTCTTAAATGTCAGAGGATATTGACCTGAGGCTAGAGAGCTCTCAGTGCCTTGTGTTTGTATGGTCTCAGCTGAAGCATTAAAAGACAAAGCACTGGGTAGTGCTGATTGTGAGCACTTCCCGTGCCAGAGGTGGACTTGGGTGTGGGTGTGAAGGAAGCTGATCCTTGCTTCTCTGGGGTTCTCTAGACTAAGAGAGTTGACATAGCAGGGATGAAGCGCATATGAGTAGAATTCACAGGAAGGGCTAGGAAGGTCTTTTCTGAAAGCCCATTAGGAGGCAGGTCGGATGGGCAGAGGGAAGATAGTATAATGTGTGGGAGGTAAGAACCAAGAATGTGTCAGTAGGGAGCCAGTGTAGGTGGATGATGGGTATCGCTGAGTAGGCTGGATAAGAGCCATCCATTTAATAATTCAGACAGGTAGTCCAGCACAGGCAAGCAAGAAATTGAATCATGGAAGAGTTGTAGGCACTGTGCCAGCACAGAGAATGTTAAAGCAGACAAGCAGTGTCCTTACTGTTAGGAAGTTCACAATCCAGTGGGAAGAGAAGCAGCAATGCTGTTCAAATAGGCAAAACAAGGCAGTGGGTGCCATGGAGGCTCTCTAGAGGGTGTGAAGGCTGAGCCAGAGGCATGACTGGGAGGTAGACAGGGAACTGGGTGTGAAACAGGATGCAGTGCTGGAATGACAGTATGAGTCAGGGTTAGATCACAGTTAGGATCATATTAGGAAGAACTTTGAGAGGCATTGATACTGGACTTTATCCTGTAGCTTTGAGAAGTTGCTGAAGGAATTTAAAGCTGGGGAGCTTCATGGTGAGATGTACATTTTAAAGTCCCTGTCCCTGGAACAGAGGTTGGAGTGTGGATGGGAGGGGCAAGGCCACAGACAAAGAGACCAAGACTGAGAGGAGGCTGTGACCTGACCTGTGACTGTGGCTGTGGAGTAGGGAGATGTGGCCACGATGTGTAGGTGCTAGCTTGGATAATACTGGCTGACTGTTGGATTGGGGATGGGAGTAAGGCTGTTTGGTGAGTGTCATGTGGACCTCAAAGTCACCTTAGCACTTAAAGGCCCTAGGGGTGAAGAAAAGACCATGAGCAGAAAGAAGCCAGAGTCTCCAGTGGAGGATACAGGCTGAGCAGGATTGGTCAATAGGGTGTAGAGAAAAGAAGGTACTGGAGCCTTCTTTCTTCCTTTCATATTTGGAGGTTTCAACTCCTGCCACCTAGTCCTCAAGGAATGCATACACCAAAGGGTCAGTTTCAACATTCAGTCATTCCATCCAGCATGGAGATTTTATTGGCTTTTCTATAAGTATCTCCTGTGGTTCTGCATGGTTCTGAGTGGGACAGGACAGGAGTTCTGTGTGTTGGTGTTGGGACTCCAGGAAGGATATACATCAGGCCTGCCTGTCTCGTAGAAGTTGGGGGATAACAGCCAGTGATGGGATTCCCTAGAGCATTGGTAATGAACCTATGGCCTGTGTGCTGCAGCAGGCATGCAAAGCCACCTGTGATGGCACGTGAGCCAAGTCACCCCAGCATCACCCCAGCACTCCAAACATTCAGGTTTAATTGTAGTGTTGGCACTATATGATAAATAAGTGGGTTTTGGGTTGCAGTTTGGGTACTCGGTTTCTAAAAGATTCACTATTGGGGAATGCCTGGCCACTTGAATAAGAATGTAGTAGAGGATGAAAGAATAATGCACAAGAGATAAAAGAGTTGTATAAATGGAGCCCAGGGATTTAGCTCAGTGGTTTCACCACCTGGCTTGCAAGCACAAGGACCAGAGTTCGATCCCCGGTACAAAAAAAAAAAAAAAAAAGAGTTGTATAAGTGGAGGGCCAGGACTTGATCTTAGCTCTTCTTGGATAAGACCACGAGCCTCAGACTTGTCAGTATTTGTTGATTACACAACATAGCAGAGGGTGTAAAGGCAGATGTAAGGAGCAGGACTTAAGGGACTAATGATCCAGACTTGTAAAAGGGAGGAACCATGCATTCTTGCAAAGGACAGGTTGTAGTTAACAAGCCACCTGTGTTATCTTTAGCTGATGTTTTGATCTGGGAGAGCAGCTGCACAAGATCATAAATCGTCAGCTGGGATATCATCTTGCCATCAGAGACATCACAGTATCATTGGTTGTTGAGATCTCAATCATGATGGTTGGCATAGAGAGTTCTGTTTCCATATGTCAACCACAGGGCCATCTAGCAAGTTACATGTAGACCTAGGACAGACTCACAATTTAGTAGCCAATTTGTAAGCCATTTCAATAATATTTTATAGCCTGCCCAGTGTGGTTTCAAGCTGGTCTCCTGCAGTTCACCTTCACTGCTTTGGTGCCATCAGTTCACCAAGGGTAACAAAAGGAGGATATTTTAATTCTATCAGTGCTTCTTCATTTTTTGCTGGAATGCCTCTAAAATAGACACTTCCCTAAACAGGTGTTTAGTTACCATGAAATAATTGATTATTTAGGAACTGTGGGTAAAGTGCGAGGTTCTTTCTTTTTACTTACCAATTATTTCCCAGTTTTCAGTAAGACTATTCCTTGGACCCAGAGCCTAAAGGTAAATTTTTACACTATTTTTAATGTGCCTATATTTTTTACTCTGACTTTCAGCTTGTGATTTGATGCTGGTACTCAGAAACTTTTGAATTTTGACAATTTGAGTTTCAGATATTTGAGTTAGGGAAACCTGTAGTTTTTTTTTGTTTTTTTTTTTTTAATTTAGTGAAAGTTCATGCTACTGTTTCTTATTCAGAGTTAGGACTATAGAGTTTTTATTTAACCACATTAATTTTGGTTTATCTCTTCCAACCATGCAGGGCTTCTTACTGTCAGTGGCTTTCAGTGATACCAACATAATCACTCATGCATTATCCCATAATACACACACAAAAAATCACAAAATAAACACCAAACATATAGTTACTAAAACTTGAGGATATATGTCATGACACTGCATAGTCAGATTCCTACATACAAATTGAAATAATTTCCTGCTCTATGGTATATAATTTGCCTCATGTGCTTCAACTTACATTTGGGTGTTAGTTTTATAATAATTTATAATAATTGTATTTCTGTGTACATTATTTTCATCTGTCTGAAGATGATTTACAGATCAAGTCATATCTGAAGAAATCTAGTTTCTATCACTGCCCCTTTCATGCCATTTTCTTGTTTTTCCATAAGTAGCCTTTTGAAAAAAATGCTTAGGCTATTCTTTTTATTTTTCCATATAAGGGATAGCATTTTATATACAGTGCTCCTTGACTTACAGTGGCATTATGTCTCAAAGTTGAAAATATCCTGAATTGAAAATGCATTGAATACACCCAACCTACTGCTCATCAGAGCTTAGCGACAAGGCATTGTAGAGTTCTGTGGGTTGTTCATCCTTGTGATCCAGGGGCTGTGGTTGCTGCTGCTGCCCAGCATTACTGGTGAGGATCAGACTACATATACTGGTAACCTGGGAAAGGATCAGAATTCAAAGTATGGTTCCTACTGAGTGACATTGCTTTTACTCCATTGCATGGATGGATAATCAAAAGTCAAACTTCGTAAGTTTGGCACCACTTGCATGCTTTTCTCCACCTAACCATGGATGTCGGTGACGACATCACAGTGTTTCTAAAAATCTTCATTGTTGCTTTTTCAGTGGCATCACACTGAAGCTGTATAGATGCATAGTCATTTATTCTAGAGAATTGTCCTCTAACATTCTTGACTCCCAGTTTCTAATGATGAAGGAGATGGACAGAAGAGAGAGCAGATCCTGGCCATCTGTGGAAGTGGTACCTAGTTAAGACCACCCTCCTTTTGTTTACCTTAGTTTTTATCCTGAGCGAGGCACCAAGTGTCTTTTTCTTTGTAACTAGTTGTGTAGGACTGCTTTTTTTCTTGAGGCACATTCCTTTATTCTCTCTCTTTTTGTCTCATTTAGAAATACTTCAAGATTTTAACAACATCATTTATTGGTTTTTAATGGTGGCATTTGGTTTGTGTGTCTTTGTGTTTAGCGTTAGTAAGAATTTTCAAGGAATGTTACTAGAAATGAGTCTTTAGATACCTTTTCATAACAAAAGCCCCACATTTAAAATGTAAATGAAATAAATTTTATGTTTCTTCTCTCCTAACTAATACTGTATTGTTTATGTTTTAGGGAAAAGGACTTGGAGGCCAAGTTCATTATTCAAATGGAGAAAAGCAAGACAACAATCACAAACTTAAAGGCAAGTAGTGACCCAGGCCCCCTGCAGCTCCATGTGCCTCTCATTTGCTCTCCTATTGGGGTGACTTCTGGGTGAATGAAGCTTGCCTGCTACCTCTGTACCTCTCTGTCCTTAGTTAAGTTAGCCAGGTTAGCTTGCTCTTAACTTGGGCTCAGTCCTGGAGCAGAAAGAGGTTTCCTCTCCCATTCCTGGTTCTTTGATCTAGAAGACAAGCCCACAGTTTCGCCCTGCTCTGGGAGGTCCTGAGTCTAGACCAGCTGGATGCAGATGTTTTCATCCTGGCCTCTTGAGTTGGAGTCTTAGCCTGCAGTTGAAGAGCTGATACTGTATTGTTCAAAACTCAGAAAATGAAAGATTAAAAACAAACAACAAAAAGATGCATTATTTTCTGGAAAAAATAGAAAACAGCAGTTTTCCAGAATGGCAAATTCTGCATTTTGCGCTCAAAATATCCTGTGTGTTTCTTTGATCAGCATATTTCTAATGACCACGAATGTTTTCACTTGGAGGAAAGAAGGGTATAAAATTAATAATAAGGAAAGCATGTGATTTTGTGGTTAGGTCCTTTCTGCTTTGATCTTTGTCCTGGGTTTGGGTGTCTGAGCCTGCTGCTCTACGGCCACAAGTCAGTCTCCAGTTTACCGAGGAATGGATTTCTACTAATTTACAGCTCAAGGGTCTGGGCACATAGAATCCACTTTCAGAGCAGCAGAACTTGATCTCCAGTGGTTGATGATGGGGAAGCTGCCGCCTTCCTGTTGCACCGCACTCTGGATAATGTGTTGGCCCCTTCTGCACTCTGGTGTCCCATGGCCCGAGTCATTTGCTGCTGAGATGTCCTCTTTCTCACTTAGCGCAGCCCCCTGGATGCTGGCTCTTGTAGCTACACTCAGTCTTCCTTCCTTCGGCTTCCTGCACTCTCTCAGCTTTCTACCAGTCATCCCTTGCTGAGTCCCTGCTGCTGGTTCCCTTTCTTTGCCTTGGATGCACTTCCTTTGTGCATTGTGGCATCCATTTGCCTTGATTACTCTGCTGCTTTTTGTGTTTTACAAACATTTCTTCCTCTGATGTTTGAGTGACTGGAACAGATGTCTAGATTTTTTTAATGTTTTCATGTGTCATTATTTTAATTGTTAATGTTTTACCAATTGTTTCTTTACAATAGGTGAATTATGTTGAAAAATATGGTGCTTGTTAAAGCTATTTTACTATGTCCAAGAAACTGTGTGAGGCTTTTGATATTCTGGAGACTTTTAAACATGAATTTTTGGGTTTAGTTGAAGCATATAGCATGGTAGACAAGACTTGCAAACATCTGTGATAAACTCACAATATGATGTGTCCTAGGAGACTTTTGCGTCTCACAGTTGGGAGAAATTGCTTCCCTTGAGTGCACTAGGGAAGGTTCATGAAGAGACATCTGACCCAGGGTTTCCAGTGGGACCACCAAGTTGCACAACTCTAGGAGGTCCCAGGCCTATCACAGTTTGTGTAAATAGCATCCTGCAGATGTGCAAAGCCCTGTCCTGGTGATTCTGGTGGAGAGAATACTAAGATAATTGAAGATAGTAAAACCCTCTGTGTGGAGTGGTGGGTTGATATGAATGAATCATAATAGAAAAGGCAAGAATAGTAGCCATGGGTCATAAAACAGCTTGGAGTGGTGAAGTAGGGGAATTTAGGTTGCATTTAAGTTTTATTCATTTACTTATATTTTAGAGAGGCCAGCAGGAACTTCTTAGGGTATAAATAAGAAAAAATGGTGTAAATAATGGTGACAATTTCATGTTTTAGGAATAGATGTTTCTCTAATATGGGTCACTTGTAAAATAGCAGTAGTGTTTATATTATTATCATCATTATCTTTATCATCATCATCGTCATTATCTCTCTTTCTAGCTACCAGAAGGAGGGACTGGGGATTCAGGAAGAGAACGCACCAAGACCTTCACCTATGACTTTTCTTTTTATTCTGCTGATACAAAGAGTCCAGATTATATTTCACAAGAAATGGTATGATGGGATATTTTCACAATCTTTATTTTCATACCAAGAAAAACATGCCTGCTTTAGAACACTTTCAAACAGCTTGCTAATTTTTTTCTGAATAGAATTTATAAAAATTAACCCTTTTAAACTTAGCTTTGTGGTTACTATATAGTACCGTTTGTTTAAGGCTGAGAATTATTCAGTTATCAAAAGATTAATTATTTTCTTTCACTTTTAAACATAGTGATCATAACTTTTACTTGGTTTCAAAACTTGGACATGGCTACTGTTTTGAAAGAGCTCTAAACATTTTGAGGGGCATCGTGCAAATATGTTTAAGGCCAGCAAATAAGTCATCTGGCCTTGAGTCTTGCTGCCATACAGAGCTTAGGAAGTAAATTTCAAACCCAAGTCACATTTCGTCTGCTTGTGTGGATGGAAGTGCAGAAAAAATGTTTCATCTAAAGCCTTTCTAGAATGCAGAATGATGCTGCCACCAAACTTGTCCTGTAGGCTTTTAAGGGCTAAAATGTAGGCATGAAGTGGGCAGATGAGAGCAGACACAAGAGTGCCCCCGGAGACCATCCTGTTGGACAATGATGGTGGCATTTCATGTGACAGAAGGACAGATGTGTTTCCCTGGGTGGGGATAGGCTGGGTGTGTGTGCAGAGTGGGGAGCACTGGCATAGGGGTAAGAATGCAGCTTCCTTGCAGGGCCTCCTCTAGGCTTGTCACAGCTTCTCTAGATAAAATGCCTCAGATCTCCATGTGGTAAAACAGGGATGGGAATTCCTGTCCTGCTTTTCCTGGGCTGTAATCCAAGCAGTGTCTTTTTGTAAAGTACAGCATGAAAAGGTTCTGGTTCCAAACAGCTTGAAGTGTGTCTGTGCAGCAGAATTATGGCATTGTCCGGGAACGTGTTAGAAATGTGAAGTCTCAGGACCCCCGCAAAGCTGCTGAATCTTTTTTTTTTTTTTATAGCAGACTCTGCATTTTGCTTTTTAGGAGCCCAGTGATTTGTAGGCATTCTGACATTTTAGAAATGTACTTTGTTTAGAAGTAGTTGATGGAGGAGATTGGCTTTCTTAGACAATGCAAGTGTGATTTTGGAGGACTGGAGTGACGCTATCCAGATGTTGAGGCAAACATCAGAGAAAAATAGAAAGGGATAGCAGGAATGGGAATGGGAGCCATACAGAGAGGAGAGACCATTGGGAAAGAAGGACCAGGAACTGTTGCCTGGATTTGCATTGGTGTCAGACACTTTGGCTCGTGTTCATTTGTGCTGTCTTGTTTAATTTCCCAGTAACCAATGAGGTGAACTTAAACTCCATTTTTCTTTTTCCAAGATTCTAAATAAACTTAAATAACTTGTTCAAGTTTATGGAACTAGTCAACTCTTTTTTTTTCTTTTTGTGCAGTATCAGGGCTTGAACCCAGGGCTGTTCTAGTACTGGGCTATATCCCCAGCCCTTTTTATTTATTTTGTAATTTTTAGACAGAGTCTTGGTAAGTTGCTCATCCTGGCTTTGAACTTGTGATCTTTCTGCTTTAGCCTCCTAACTACTTGGGAATTGAGTTGTGCACCACTGCACTTGGCCTAGTTGAATTTTTTTTTTTTTTTTTTTTCCGGTACCAGGGGTCGACCTCAGGATCTTGTGGTTGCAAGGCAGGTGCAGTGCCACTGAGCTAAATCCCTGGCCCCTGGCCTAATTGAGTTTTAACTGTAGCAGAATTGAAAATCTGGGTATAATGTCCAGGGTGGTTGGGGAAAAAGTGTACAGTACAGTCTTTTTTTTTTTTTTTTACAAGCTATTGCAGATTTCTCTTTATTTCCTCTACATTTTTGAACAGAATGATAGGGTTGAAATTACAGAATTAAACAAAATTATAGAATGTCCCTTCTTTTGACACCAATTACCCAAGAAGATTGCTTTTAGGATTGCTCCTAACCTATCTGGGAGATGGGAAGGCAGGGTTCACAAAAGACTTCTGCAAATCTCATGAAAAGATGGAACAAACACATACACAACAGATTTCTCATACTTATTACTGGGGACAGTTACTCTCAGAGACATTTGATTTAGAACAATTATCATCATTTCTCTATTCAAAGAAATGTATATTCTTAAAATCCTTTTACTATGTTATTATATTACTCAACTCTCTCCTAAAAGATTACATGGTTGCCAGTATTTTCACAAAGGGAACAAATACAGAGAGAGGAGAAAGCTGATCATAAAATTCCGTCACCATATTTTGGTCAGAATAGAAAACATTTGATGTTTAAGGTTTTAGCTCTGGCTTAAGGTATTCTACTTCTATTCTCCCTCTGCTCTCCACTGCAGTAAAGTATTAAAAACAAGAGCATTGTCAGTGAAATACAAAAAAGATTCCCCCTGCCTGGTACCAGGGATTGAACTCAGGACTTGTGCTTGCGAGGCAGGTGTGGCGCCAAACAAAAAAGATTTTGATGATATAACTGAAAGCAACTTTACTACCAAGGCATGGAAATAGTCTACTTTTAACATAAAGTAGTAATTATTCGTGAAAAAATATATGTAGAAAATTATACTAAAACACCACCCATGAAGCCAAATATGTTGTAATATTAATAGGTTTCCTTCCATTAAAACAGTAAGCCTGAAGAACTGGAGATCCAGCCCAGAGGTATAGTGTTTGCCTACCATGCACAAGGCCTTACTTCTATCACCATCACTGCAGTCATCATCATCATCACCGTCATCACCACCACCACCACCACCACCACCATCTCTAATGATAAAGTCTAATGCAATAGATATTTCTCAACGCATATAAATAATCTAGACTTTTACTTCTGTACTCATGTTCTCATTTCATCAGTATTGATCTTACTTTTCTTTTTGGTCCAGATTGCTTTGGGCTGCCGTTTTTACTACGGGTATTTGTACATGAGCGTGATGAAAATGTCTACCATGAACTATAGTTCCAGAACATAATGACATATTTTGTGTATTTTCACTCAATTTCTTATTGTTGCTCAACATGTTAAAAAAACAAACAGTACAGTCTTAAGGGCTTAGGAGAGAAATGGGATGTTCTAGATGATAAATGGGCAGCTTTTGGACAATTAGTGGGTGAATGGAGATGACTTTGGGGTTCAAGGTGAATGGATTAATACAGTGGTGGCACACCTGCAGCACACTGAAAGCTCTAAAAGGTTCACCATCACTGGATTAGTATCTAGGAATCTGGTAAAGAATAGAGTAGTATAGATATTTGGATCCAGATTTAGGCTTTAATGTAGGAATTAAGTGGCAGATATGAGGGAATTTGTTAAGGTGAAACCAGGTTGGCGTAATGATCTCCAGAATGTCTTCAGTGCAGAATGAATGAACAGCTTCGAAGGACTTCTTTTTTAACTTATTTATCAAGCTGGTGGATTTTCCCCTCATTTAACGTAAACTAAGGTCTTTTGGGGACAGAGGGCTTTGCAGTGGGAAAGCCCAGGGAAACACCAGGTGAGTATTGTGTGACAGCAAGACTCGGCCCCTTGAATGTATGCTGACCCAATGAACTTTACAGATGGTTAATTTATGGGAATAGATGACATTTCCTGGGCTTTACAGGAGTCAAGATCAGGGAAGCAGGGACAATTTTAGTTCTTTTGGAAGTTAAAAATAAATGCTCAGAGTTTATAAATAGTTCTAGATTGTGAGAGTCCTTCCCTGATGAGGACACCTTTCATACTGTACACACCTGTGCAGGATCTCTTCTCAGGTGCTCCAGGCCTTTTGTCCCAGGGAGTAACCTGAAGTGGTTCCATTAAGTTGCAGATCTAAAACAGTCTTGAGATTTGTTCCCAAACACAATTCTTACAGGACCACTTGTTAATAAGTCAGTGCAATACAGGAAAGTATCTTTACAATACTTTAATGAAGAGTTCATCCCTCATCCCTAATTTTAATATTGTTACAAAAGGGGATTCAGTGTGAATATTGACTAAAGGCTGTCATGTTGCCCCTTCAGGCACAGAAAGTGAGCAGCAGGCAGGTTGTGTCCCTACAATTTATCAGGGAAAGACTCTGGCTAACCCTCTTTTTTAAAAAATCAGTTAAATATAAAAATGTGTTGAGAAAATATATCATTCCTATTAGTATAGTTTAAGTCCACTTTCCCTTGATGTTAAACAAGTAGTACATAAGATGACCATTATTTTAAAATTAGAAAATAAATAAGTGAGCAATTTAAATCCACAGTCATGTACATTAAAGACTATTAAGTAAGGTCTAATTTTCTTAATAGTTCTTCAAAAACTCCAAAGGGAGACTTTGATCTCAAAGAACCTATTTGTTAATTTAACCCTGGAGAAACTTGAAACCTAAAATCTGCCATTTCTAAGTGGGATGGGAGAGTCCTTGCTTTAGCTGCACCTTCTCCTGAGTGGCTCCCCTCCAGGGAGGCCCCTGGTACCTGTCTTACTCTGCCAGTCAGCTGTAAAGTCTGGTCTGTGCTTCCACAGGCAGCAAGGTGACCTTGGGTAAGCAGGCCAGGCGAGGGATTTTGACAGATTTGATGCCATTGGGGTTGTAGGTCTCTTTGCACTGTTCTCCCCTTCCCACCTTGGTGTGGTGGCAAATACTAGATAAGTCTTTGGTGGGAGCAAGATAGGGTCACCTGTGCCTGTTGTTTCTCTGATCCCATGCTGACTGTGGATACTTGAAGCTGAGACTGAGCCAGGCCTGCTTTCTAGGCTGTTCTGCCATCATGTCCCTCAATCCCTGCCCTGCTGAGCCCTTGAGTTTATCAGAAAACCTCCTAGGTTAGCTTTCTGCTGAAATAGTAATGAAATGGTGGGTGTGGATTTTTATGTTAGGGAAGAATTTCATTGTAGAAACTTCTTTGGGTTTGGTTTAAGTAACAATGGTTTAAATAACAACCATGACTTGGCTTTAGCCCCAGATTCTTCTTTTATTTCCTTGAAAGTTTCTGGAAGGCTCTTTTTCCTAACCAGTGAAATTGTAAAAATGACACTTGCCTTTTGATTTTTGTTTAATCTGAGAGTTTTTACTCATATTCTACACATAGTGGTGAGAAGTGAACTGTAAGCTGGTGGACTGGACTCCTGAGTCCCCCTGGGATTCTGGCTTTTGCTTTGTAATAGAGGTTTAGGGATGAGTCCTTTCAGGTAGGATTGGGGCCTTGTAGTGGTGGGATGAGGGGATATAATGAGGGCTTTGGAGTCAGTCAGTCCTGCCACTCTGTGTAAATGCCTGTTGCTCTCCCACTTCCTTTTCAGTCTTCATCTGAAGTCTGAAGTCTAGTAGTGCTGACAGCCCAGTAGTATTTTCATGAGGATTAATCCATCACATATGAAGTGCTTAGAAAGTGTCCAGTAAATCTGAGCTGCTGTTAGTCAGGAACTAAGTCATCAGAATACAGGAATAACATGAGAAAATAAGAGCTCCTAAAGCTGAATTGGGTAGAAATTAACTCAGAATAGATGGCTTTGGCCCTCTGTGGAAGTGACTCAGTTGAAACAGTGTTCTATAAATCTTTTACTGATAAGAATGAGGAAACAAAGTCCAAGCAAGATGATGTTGAAGAAAGCCAGAGTCCTGTTCACTGTATTATTCCCTCATCCTTGAATGACAGCTGTGTTATTAGCAGGGATTTTTTTTTTTTAATGTAGTGCTGAGATGGCTAGGTTTGTCAATTTTGCTATACTTTGAAACCACTTGGAAAGTTTAAGTTTCTGGGTTCATACTCCCCAGATTCGTACTTCACTGGGCTTGGTTACTGGCCTGGCTGGTGGTACTCCTCAGAGTTTTCCCAAGTAATTCTCACATGGGGTCAGTGTGACAGTCACAATTGAAGATGACTTTTGGTGGATCCAACTTACTTCCTGATTTTGTAACGGAGCTTCACTCACAGAGTGACTGCTACTGCAGTGGTCCTACCAGGAGCCCCTGCCTCACTTCTTCCTGTCTCTGACCATGAGCAGGAGTGCTGAGTGCCCTGCCTTTGACCTCTCACCCATTGCTGATGTTCTACCTTTTGAAGCAAAGAGATATTTTATGTGTCTTTTGTGTGCTGGGCTTAGAGGACAGGAGATAAAGTTTGGTTTGTCTCTTCCCAGCTGAGTGTGACAAGGATGATCTCCTATCTTGATTTGTTTCCTTTATATCAGTTGTCTTCCTGAAGTATTTGTACTTCATCCTCTTTTAGTCTCAAAATTGCAATTATGTGGTGCTTCCAACACGATTCAGGCCATTGTATATATAACCCCCAGCTGCACACAGCTTGCCCCCTGCGCTTTCCAACCTGAGTAAATATCCAAATAGGAAAAAGCATCTGGACTCTGTCATGGGGGAGCTCAGCCATTTGGGCCTGGTCCATACCAGCACATCACTCAGAACATCCAGAGACTTGCCTGCATGAATCGTGGGATTCAAATGGGAGCCTTGGTTTGGTGTGGTTTAGACAATGGTTTCTGGGTGCTGTGACTTTCACATTTTGAATATTTAGCTTCTGGAGATTCTGATAGAATGAACAGCTTTATAATTTCTGGATGGTAAATCATCACATTTTAAAATCATCTTCTAGACTTGAGTGTCACTTTGCCTTGTTTACATTTTTATATTTCAGAAACTGTTTTGTTAAGTAGGAAAGAGGATGGTCTTCCTTAGAAAGTTTACTTTTGATTAAAAACTGGGGTACATGCATATTCTATTGCTAACAGTTCCCACAGTGATTTATTTATACGATACAATCCTTAAGAGAGGAAAGTAGCATTTAAGAATATTGCCAGCCCTGCAGGGGCTTTTATTGGAATCCATACTAACTGTATCTTTTGTGTTTGTGTATTTCTGACTTTCAGATTTTCAAAACCCTGGGCACAGATGTCATGAAATCTGCATTTGAAGGTTATAATGCTTGTGTCTTTGCATATGGGCAAACTGGATCTGGAAAGTCATACACTATGATGGGAGATTCTGTACGTTGTTTATGCTGTGTGGGAAGGAAACTTCTTATTTTTCTGTAGACTGATAGAATTGTCTCTTTTATCTACTTGGTTTGTACTAACTTGCTTTTTGTGTTCTGATCATTTTTTAGTAATAAGATAAAAGTAATAAGTTGGAGTAAATTTCCTTTGAGAGATTTTAAATTAGAAATTGCTTTACGTTTATAAGCATGAATAATGGATGCAACTCCCAGTTCATTTTCTGTTTTTAAAGGCCTTATAATCTTATCAAGAAAGTATGCTGGGCCCACAAGTAATTTATTCTCCTTTTCTGCCAGCACAACAGTTTGAATAAAATTACCAAAGTCTGTTCTTTTTGAAATAATTCAGAACATTTTTCCCCAAGAAAAATATAAAAAACAAATCTAACTTTTTGATGGAAAGGTATTACATAAATTCAGAAAATACATTAAAAAAGTTAAGAGTTACAAAGTCTGTATAGAGTTATGTGGTTATAAACATAGTTTGTACTGTTTAGTAGTAGTCTATGTAAATTAACAGGCATTAATGTTACACTTGTCCCAAAGTATGGAGGAGTCAATAATAGACATTACTGCAGGACCTTCACTGTGTTCAGTGTTTTCTCCTGATTTAGAGGGTGCTTGTGCATTTTATTTTTCTTAAGTTGTAGTGAAAGTGCTATTCAATGACTGCCTGGCCTGTAGCACATTCTAAACACTTTGGGCTGCCTGCCAGCAGGCATGCCCAATATCCCGGTTATAGGCTTGCTGGCTCATGGCAGTAGTGTGTTAGAGAAGAACAGAACTCCCCAGCTGGAGTTGTCCCTGGGTGTGGAACCTGACTTCCTCAACCTGGGCATTTCTTTACACCAGAAGTCTGACAGTATTGTGCTGTACACCCTCAATGCTGAAAAATAGGGAAAAGCAGATGAGAGAAACAAACAGATCATTTCAAGCGTTTTGCATTTACCTTTCATCATTGCTTTTCTCTTCCTACTTTCCAACTACTGTGCCTTTGGAAACAAGTTCTTTAAAAATGAAATGTGTTTGTTGATTCCCTAGAAGCTATTTTATGTAAGTCAAATATTTATAAAGTACTCATAAAATATAAGTATATTTCTCTGGCCTTCTAGGTAAATACTGCTTGGGTATTCTTTATTTATTTGAAATAAGAAACAAAAATATGGTGAAAGGCTGAGTTTTCCTGGTTAGGAATTTGCACTGCTTGAATAGAATAAAGAATAACAAAGTCCTGAACCAGTGATTCTTTGTTTCATTAAGTGGGGAGTTGGGCTAAGGTAGGAAGGGACTTGGAAGCTCTGAGGTTTTGGTTTCCTAATGAGAACATTATGCCTGATCTCGAGTATCACTCTGAGGTTCACCGGCTTACTAGTGCTGAATGAGACATATTTATTGAATATAATATCCCCATTCCATAATTGATACAATGTTCTATTAAAATCTTCCTTTCTCGGAAGGCCACTGTAGGGATGCTGGTATCAAAAGGAGGGACATACCATATTTTAATGTGGCCCTATCATCCAAGTTTTAAGACAGTATCACTTACAAAGATGTTCTTAGTGTTTCTTTTCTCCTAGTGAACATTTTCCATTCTTTGGTCATTTAACCAGATATTTTAAACATTTATTCTTCAGCTGTAGACTATCTTGTCTGATAGCTAGAGAGTAAGTCTCCTTATCTTTACAAGTCATGATTTAGCTGAACAACAGCTCCTTATCATATTTTACCCAAGTCCAAGCATGTAGAAATGAGGAGGCTCCATCTTCTCATGCTAGAGAGTAGGAAGCAGTCCTGGAGAAGTCAGAGGTATGTCTGGGGCTTAGGTGGTGGAGTTGGCAGGCCCCTTGAGTCAAAGTCCTCTCCAGCAACATGCAGATTCAGTCATCAGTTGATTTCATTTCCAGTGACAGCTGTGTCACTCCTTTTCATTATAGGGTGATTTGGGCTTAATACCTCGGATCTGTGAAGGGCTCTTCAGTCGGATAAATGAAACCACCCGATGGGATGAAGCATCCTTTCGGACTGAAGTCAGGTAAGACCAATGGTAGGGCGAGGGTAAGCTTGGCTGGAACCCAGGCTTCATAGCTACCAGGAAGGAGTGAGGCCTGTGGGTTCCTGAACAGAGTGTCTTTCCTCTCTGTATTTAAGTGTCCTTTCCTCTTCTGTATTTATGGTAGTTGGGAGTAAGGCTGAAAACACTAGGTTTTCAATGACTTTCTTGGGTACAATTTGGATAGGAAATAACATCGCTTGGTCAGAAATGGTAACATTTGATGTTTGTCTCAAATAGGGTGAGCCCTTTGACTTTTACAGAGTATACCAATTACTCGCCTCTTTCCTTTGGCTGAGGAAGGATTGTGTTATTCTTTGTGTTGGTAGGATCGCTGTAAATCCAACCTATAAAACGTCAGGCTTTTCTTTGAAGCATACCTATGTGGACAGCCAGTCTTTTCAGTGGTTTTACAGATGAATGTGTCAATCTCTGCTTCTCACAGCTACGTGGCCTCAGTGGCTATGTGGCTTTGTGGCCTTTGAATATGTTATTCACTTGAGGACCCGCCCCTACCTTGTCTATCTAACCTATAAAGTGAGGATAATAGAAGTCCTTGCAGCTGCGCTGTTGTCAGGATTAAGTGAAACACTCCATGTAAAGTGCTGAGTATTGTATGTGTGCAGCTGTTGCCCATGCATGTGTGTGGCTACTGTTATGAGTGTTGCTGCTGTTACTGTTATTAAGGTCTCAAAATTTTGCTTCTAAATTCAATTCTATTTAAAATTTTTAGCTACTTAGAAATTTATAATGAACGTGTGAGAGACCTGCTTAGGCGGAAGTCATCTAAAACCTTCAATTTGAGAGTCCGAGAGCATCCAAAAGAAGGACCTTATGTCGAGGGTAAGAGTGAACATTTCACAGCCTTATCCTTTGGGGATTTGTGTAAATTCAAAGCTTTCAAATTAAAAAAAAAATGTAGCATAATGGTGAGATTTTAAAAATTTCTTTACTTTTGGAGTTTTATTACATTAAAAATGGCATGTGCTGTCACAATAATGTTTGTGTTCATTTAATGAATTCATAGCTCACTAGGCATTCCCTGATTTTGGGAGCCTTGCCAGAGATTTCCCCTGGCTTTAAGAAATCTCTGGCAATGTGTTTTCTGATGTTCTCAGGCAAGGCAAGTATGCTTGTAGCTGGCTCTTTCAGGGCATTACATTTTAGCAGTGTAGTATAACTGATGCTATATTGCAAAAAAAAAGTATTCTAAGAGCTCTTGTGGGTTAAGAAAAACTTTCACAGGATTTCCTCTCAGCTGACACATTGTGATAGATTAGTTGTGGCTCAGCCACACATAGTGATGGTAGAGGATTGGCCCTTGCTAAGTGTTGAAAAAAAAATAGGCCGGGTTCAAGGTTATCCTTGTGATGAAGCTGATCCTTTTACTCTGCAGAAGGAGCCAAGTGCTGCCTGGTCTGCAGGAGTTGCACACAAAGAACATGCTTTCCTCTGCATAGTGTCTTTTGTGTGTGTTTCATTAGAGTCAAGACTGAGAACTGCCCTGGATTTAAAGATGTGCATCTTTTTGGTTGCCTTGTTTTACCTTAAGAAATCAGGTGCACCAGTAAAACCTATTTGCATTTTATTAAATTTCGATTTATGCATTTTCCTTTCTATCCCTACAGCAAGGTATCCAATACATAGTTGTTTCATGGCATTATTGTTAATTTTCACCTAGCAAATGCCCTCATGTTTGACTTTTAATTGCCTTATCAAATTTTAGAACATGTAAAACTGGTGTGTGAAGAGACACAATAATCAAACAGGGTAAACCATCTAGAATCTGACCTAGATATTTACAGGTATTTAGACTTTATTCAAATGTTGGGTAAATATGGATTATTATATTTTCTGGGAGAAAAATAAATTGGTATCATAGCTTAGATTTTATACCAGGAGAAAATGGTAAGTGGATCAAAGATTTAAATGTAAAAAATGACATAATCAAATAATCAGAAGATACTACAGGCTAAATTTCTCCAGAAACTTGGAGGATGGAAGATTTTTAAAGATTTACTTAAAAACCCAGAAGCCATAAAAGATGAGAAGTTAAATTTGAAATCATAAAAAAGAAAACAAAATTTTAAACTCATCAGAAACATTGTAAACAAAATTAGAAGCTTAATTACAAAATGGGGAGATATTTTTAATTTGTGTTTCAGACAAAGGACTAATTTCCCTAATATATAAAGAGCTCCTACAAATAAGGACATATGAGGCAACCAAATAGAAAAATGAACAAAGGATGTGACTGCATTATATATGAAAATGGAAATACTGATGATTTTTAAAAGGAAAGGCTCACACATAATAGACAAGCAAAATAAAAATACCTCAAGATGACATTTGTCACCTATCCGTGGCAGAGATAAGTCGGTGTGATAAGACAGTGCTGGGAGCAAAGCACTTGCACATTGCTCCTGCTGGCTGTAAATTGCCCTCTGGAGGACAATTTTGCAATGTGTATCAACATTCCAAATGTGTTTTGTTTTAGCAATTCCATCTCTAAGAATTTTTTCTGTAGAAACATTCCCACACATTTGAAAAGACCTGTGTGGACAATTATTTGTAGCAGCATTGTTATTGGAAACAAAATATAAGTAACCTCTGTAGTCTGAATAGGAGACTGGTTAAGTTGGTTATGATACAAACAAACAGTTCAAGGCTCTGCAGCCTGAAAATGAATGAGAACTCACCATAACTTGTACACAATATTCCTGTTTGTTTGTTCATTGATTGACTGAGTGCAGTGCTGGAGATAGAATACAGCTTGTGCAGAGTGACAAACATTATCACAGAGGTACACTCCCAGTCCCAGAATATTCTGTAATATATCATTACATTTGAAAAAATAACCAGGGCACACAGTAATATTTGTGGTATATTCCTTTTTTTTTTTTTTTTTTTTACATCAAGGCTTTGAATGCCTGGATCTCAGGCATGGTGTGAGCTCTGCCACGGAGCTTCATTTCTGGCCTAAGATGCTACCATTTGTATGAGAGGGGAAAAGGTGGTTTTATATGTATGCAGTTGCCTGTAGATGTATGGGTTATTTTTTGAAGGGATGGAGGTATTGGTAACACTTGATGGCCTGACAGAAGATGAGTAAGTCAGATTTTTGTTGCTGTGCCAAAACACTCTGAAACAAACAACTTAAAGGAAAGAGAGATTTATTTTGACTCATGACTTCAGAGCCTTCAGTCCATGGTCGGCTGGCTCTGTTGCTTTTAGGCTGGCCACTGTGAGGCAGAACCGTGGTGGAAGGGTGGGATGGAGGAAAGCTCACCTCAGAGCAGCCTGGAAACAGAGAGAGAAGAAGAGCTTGTCCTGCTGGCTTCCTGGTGCCCTACTTTTATTCCACCTATGCCCATAACTTATTGGATGGTACCTACCACATTCAGGATAGGTCTTCCCCCTCAGTTTGCTGTCCCACATGCCCATAGCCTCTGGAAACAGCTTCACAGACACACACTGAAGTATGCTTTACTAATTTCCTAGCATGTCTCAGTGCAGCAGAGTCAATAGTCAGGATTATCACAAAAGGGAAGAGGGGGAGCTGTAGGAGAAGAGTAGAGGACCCCTGCACAGTGGAGCTTTTGACTTTAGAGCTATATGAATGCTCCAAAAATCTGTTTTTGTTTTTGTTTTCTTTCTGGCACTGAAGTTTGAATCCAGAGCCTCTCCCATTGAAGGTAAGATCATCACATGCCAGCCTTGAACTTGTGATCTTCATGGCTCAGCCTCCTGAGAAGCTGGAATTACTGATGTGCTCCAATACTCCTACCTCTAAAAAGGCTTTAAAAAAAACGCTTTTAGCCAGATGTGGTGGACTCCTGTATTTGCAGTGCCTTAGGAGGTGGAGGCAGGAGGATTCCAAGTTCAAGCCCAGCATGGGCTTCAGTAACTTAGCAAGACCCTGTTTCAAAACAGCAACAACAACAACAACAACAACAACAACAACAACAACAACAAGGCTAAAAATGTAACTCAGTGCAAAAACCCTGGCTTTAACTGCCAGTACTGGGATGAGAGTAGCAGTGGGGGAACTTTTAGGTTTTACATGAAAGTAGTGCTTTTATATTATTTTTCTTTGTACTGTGATTAATTCTGAGAGGTTGATGTTAGTACTCTGCATCTATCCTAAATACAGCATCTATGTAATAGCTACACATTATCAGATAAGGTAACTGAGGCTCAGTGAGGGTAACCAACTTGTCCCAGCTGGAGTCTGTTATTGTATAAACCACCACCCTACAGAAACAAATTAAATTTTTAAACTTTCAGCAAATTTGTAGAGAATAATTCATGCATTAATTCATCAAGGAAAATTTCTTATTCCATTTACTGTGTAATGGGAAAATTGCTTCACTCCTTACTTTTCTTTTCTTCCAGATTTATCCAAACATTTAGTACAGAATTATGGTGACGTGGAAGAACTGATGGATGCAGGGAATATCAACCGGACCACAGCAGCAACTGGGATGAACGATGTCAGTAGCAGGTCTCACGCCATCTTCACCATCAAGTTCACTCAGGTAGGGGAAGCTAGGGGGCAAGGGGCCGGCTGCCTCCATCCCTGCGGTCCTTACTTCCTGGTTATCACCAGCTGAGGACTCATCATTGTTGAACCAGCCTTGGCAGCAAGCAAAGGTGACTGGCTGTCATTTTCTTGTTAATTAGAGTGGAACATGTGCTGTGTGCTGAGTTTCGTGATGGTTACAATCACAGTAATTTTAAAATGTCCTGATGTGTACCCCTTAAGAAATATTTATCAAGCTTGCACCTTATTCTAGACAAAAAAAAAAAAAGCCTCACCCTGTGCCTAATTGAGCAAAAGTTTTCATTGTCACAAGCCCTGTGGAGATAATGGATTGTGAGTCAGGCCAGCTGGAGGCCAAGGTGAGGAATCGTGCAGTACATTATCACTCTATGGAGCTCACCCCACAATGGCGATTATGATTATTAAGATGACATTACAGAACCACGAGCATCTACGAGTACTTATGAGTACTTACGTAAGAATTCATTGTGATCAGGTGGTGGAGAGCATCTTAAACCTGTGTGGAAGCGATCGAGGGCACAGAGCAGTAGAACCCACAGATACAAAGGGAGGCTCCAGTTGGGCCATAGCAGGAGTTAGGAGTTGATGTTCTCACACATATTGACAGCTGAACACGTCAGAAATGACAAGACTGAATTGTATTAACGAGGAGGCTCAGAGAGCAGGGAAATGGTCAATCAGAACGCCTCTCTGTACATTCCCACAGTTTTACTTTTTGGTAGACTTTGCTTTGACTTGGGCATGCTTACTGCTTTTCCATCTGCTTTCTGGTGAATGCCTGATCCAGATGTTAGTTTCTAGTTTCTAAGAGGTTTACCTTTTTAGTAAAATCTGTGGGTTTTTTTTGAGTATTGATTGGTTCAAAATATAAGACAAATTAGAAGTCTGTGGAAAAGTAAAATATGGGTAGAATTCAAAATCAAGGAATATCTTAGTTAGTATTTTACATTTTAAAAAAATGTCAGAAAATGTTTTAACATCAAATAATGGTGAAATGATTTTTATATAATTGTCTACATTTATCTTATTTTGGAGAGCCTCTGTGCTGGAATGCTGGAGATTCTAGATGAGAAGACGCTATCTGCTTGTTTACTTACACTTTGCTTTCTTGAGTGCCCCTTAGCGCCTGGTTCCATATCCTGCCATGCTCTGGTTTGATCAGGTGCTGTTGACAGCGAGTGGGGATTTCAGAAGTGGGGTGGTTCTTCAGAAGGCTTGAGAGTCACATGTGGCAGACTTCTGTTGTATTGAATTTAATTTTGGAAGTTTTTATATAATCAGCATGAAGGGCAATATAACAACAAAATGAAAAAAAGATACATCTTGAGAGAGCTCAGTGAGGAGTGGAAAATAATTAGAATTTGCATTGTAAACAACATGAGGGCTATTTGTGCCACTTCAATTTTACTTTTATATTCTACCACAGGCAAAGTTTGACTCTGAAATGCCATGTGAAACCGTGAGTAAGATCCACTTAGTCGATCTTGCCGGAAGTGAGCGTGCAGATGCCACTGGTGCCACGGGGGTCCGGCTCAAGGAAGGGGGGAACATTAACAAGTCCCTCGTGACTCTGGGAAATGTCATTTCTGCCTTAGGTAGGTGTGTGCTGGCCTCCTGCAGCCTCTTTTTCCTTGTGGTACTGTATTAACATGAAACAATTATGTTTAATGTTTGTCTTGCAAATAGGCAACAACATCCTCAGGGGTTTTTGAAGCAAAATTGGAGGGGAAGTAAAACCTTTAATAATTTATCTTTTCTTCTCCCTTGTTTCCTTCTTCCCTACAGCTGATTTATCTCAGGATGCAGCAAACCCTCTTGTAAAGAAGAAGCAAGTTTTTGTGCCTTACAGGGATTCTGTTTTGACTTGGTTGTTGAAAGATAGCCTTGGAGGAAACTCTAAAACTATCATGATTGCCAGTAAGAGTTTTCAGTTATTTTCTCGAGCTTCCAATGTTTCCTGTGAATTAACTCTAAATATTTAAGTTTAAAGTGTCTCATTAGGATATAGCACCTTTTATTTCTTCAAAATATAATGGTTTTCCTGTCTTGAAAGTCACTCAGCATATGCAGTTTGCAGCTCCTGTCATTAGCTGTTATATAGCCTTGGCCTTGTTGCAGAAGCTGTGATCACATGCAGAGACGCTCAGCTTTTCTTTGCAAAAAGTGTGTGGTAGAAATGTCCAGCTTCACTACCTCATAGGACAAAGTTATTATAGGAACATGAGTGAAAACCCAACTTTGTTTTTCTACTTAAAGTAGTAGATATGGGATTTAAGGTGAAAAAAACAATAAATAGTCATGAATAATATACTTTATTTACAAATTTTGACTAAAAGAATCAGAAGAGAGAAAAATAGGTAGAAAGTGCGGATAATTATTGGTGAGAACTCAGAAACTCTTGCCCACTCATCCTACTTTCTTTTCCTGCTTCCTGTCTGGGTTCTTGCCTTCCTTGTCTCCTCTCCCTGTTGCACCCAGGCCCTGTGGTTAAGTAGGAGGCCAGGGGTCTTCCCCAGGGGCACAAGCTCCATTCGAAATTGTGAGTCACCCCAGCCTTAATGTTTGGTGGTGGTAGTGTGGGTGGGGATTAAAACTTTCCAGAAGGAAAGAATTAATGAGTCTGTTGACTCTTTTAAAAATTATCATGCTCTAGATTTTTACAGATGGTGAGCTTGGTAAACTGAAATTTTAAAAGTATTTTAATTTTTGCCTAATGTTGAGAGGTACAAATAAAATCCTCTTTTTATATTAGCAACTGAGAAAACCCCTTAACTAGGGTGGAGTGTCTTGTATCTTATTTTAAACTTGCTTAGGTGGTTGATTCTCAACTTGAGAAGAGCAGCATAACATTTAGTTTGGTATAGTGAATATTCTTTCCTGTAAATCTTAGAAAAGTTTTAATATTCATTACTATGGCAATGAATATTTAGTTTATCCAATGACCTGGGGTTAATCTGACTTTTAAATTATAAACCACCTTTATGTTAAATGAAACATGGAGTGCTGGATAAATGACTTTTTGCTTTCATTCTTCACAGCCATTTCACCTGCTGATGTCAATTATGGAGAAACCCTAAGTACTCTTCGCTATGCAAATAGAGCCAAAAACATCATCAACAAGCCTACCATTAACGAGGATGCCAACGTCAAACTTATCCGTGAGCTGCGAGCTGAAATAGCCAGGCTGAAAACACTGCTTGCTCAAGGGAATCAGGTTGGGTTTTTCTGAGATTTATGGACAATTTTCTTTGAGTAATGGCATCTATTTCTAGGTCTTAATGAGACAATTATCTCATGATATTGATTTGAGTAAATAAGTGCTAAGTAAAGCTCCCAATGAGTTAGCCAGCCTCTCCTTTACATCAGCCTTCTGCTGGTCTTTGCATTCATTATGTGTTCTGTGTAGAAGATTTTATCCATTAAACCTGAAATGATTAACTATCTAGTAGTTATCAATTATGAATAGAAATTTAGCATGCATAGGATTAGCAGCATAATCTCCATCACTGGAAAGAAATTGAGATGCTTAGAGCAATATTTAAAGTTCTACCCATGCATTTTATGACTTTAAATGTGTTTTAATGGAATGAAAGCCTTGTTTGAATACCTTTCTGAATCTCCATATCACCCATCACAGAGGTGGTTAGTGACTTAGTGACACATGTGAGATGATACCTGTGTCCTGGCTGCGCTGCTTTCCCTGGGGGCCTATTTGACCCTTGAGATGGCCTCCCTTCAGGATCATTTGGGATGCTAGAGAAGAAGCATGCCATTTTGTGATTTTTTTGCAGTTAACTTTCTTACAGCGTAGACATACAGTTTCTTACAGTGTACATATAGTTCTGTTCTGTGTTACACAGTGTGCGTGCAGTTCTGGTAGGGCTAGAAGAGAGATTGCCCTTGAAAGAGAGTCAAAGATGCCTTTTTAAACAGGTGAAGTTAGAATGGAGTTGGAAATAAAGATATATTTTGTCATGTTTTAGTAACCCATGAATGGATTTAAGTGTATCATAGAAAGAAAGACTTCTTTAAGTACAAAGTGGTTTCTAGAGCAGTGCTTTCCATGTAGGAATCTATGGCACTTGAAGCTCTTGACATCCCGTAAGTGGTTTGGTCTATGAAAATATTGACAGAAAAAAAACTCCCTTGAGTCTCCTGCATCCTGAAATCGCTTCGCAAGACAACAATCAGTAGGACTGCTTCATTGTGCTTAAAAATGTCTCCACACATTTTACTCTATGGTGTGGGGCTTCCTGCATGTGAAAGTTGTCAGAATGGACAGCCCAGCTACTTGGGATGTTATTAACTTATAACATGAACTCAGAGTTAATTTTATTTATACATTTTGTTACTGGGATCCTTTTTCAGTGTTTTAAAAACATTATTATCTGAAGTAAGCATTTAAAGATAATTTCATAATATTATTCAAAGAACTATATGTGAAGGAGAATATTTGGAAAATTGTAAGTATAGCATCTTGTACTTAATCTTTTATGAGATTAGGAGAATGAAGGGAAAAAGAGACCAATCTTTTTAAACTAAACTGAGAGGAGCCTTATCACACAGGCAGAAAAAACTTTATTAAAACTTTCACAAATTGTCTTAAAAATGTCTTTGGTGAAAATGATATGCCAACATTTGCCTTACATTTTGTGATCTTTTTTCTTGTTTCTTTTATGACCTGACACTACGCTGTAGTAAATGAATTATTCTTATTACTGTTTTTTGGGGGTGAGGCAGGGAAAGTTTATTTTAGAACATACTGAAGATAAAATTCTTTGATAAATTTAACATCTACATTATAATGAACATGGACATTGAATTTAAAATGATTTCTCTTACTCTGAAGCTAAAAGTTATAAAAATAATAGAGGCTTTTCCTAAATTAATTAAATTTGCAATGCTTAATGAAATAAGCTTAATGAAATAATAAATTTGCAAAGCTTAATGAAATAATGAAATAAGCAGGTGTTCTTAAATGCTCATTAAAAATCTCTGTATAAATCATACTGAGGACATTGCTGTATTCCTGGAATATTCTATAACAAATGGTGCCTGGGTTCATTGAGAATGTTTCTCAGAGTACCATTTCTAGGGTTATTTATTTGAGTGCAGTTAAATGAAAGTCAACTCTTACTTTTAGTAATTTTATGTATTTGTCGTTGCAAATGGTCACGCATCAGAGGTTTAAAAGCACAATTTTTTTTTTGATACTGGCGATCAAACTTAGGACCTTGTGCTTGTGAGGCAGGCGCAGTGTCACTGAGCAAAATCCCTGGCAAAAAACCCCACAATTTTACAAAGCAAAAGATTCTGGGATATATTGTATTTGTTCTTTATATTACATAGATGTAGATATGATAGTTTTTATATATGTTTATATTAAATCTCTATTAAAGTATTATATAAATATATAGAAAATGGTATCATTCTGTGAATGTTCACAAACCCAATTCACCCATCTACCCACCACCCACCTTAAGAAACAGAATATTACCAACATCCTTGAAGCTGCTCTTGAAGGTCCTGTCCAGGAACTTCCTGCCCTTCCTCTCAAGGGTAACCCCGTCTTGACTTATAGAGGAAAACCTTGTGTTTGTGAGTTCATCCACATTGATATACGTAGTTGCAGGTCACTTACCCTCAGTGCTGTTTTGTATTCCATCATACACACCTGTTATCCATTCTACTTTTGAGGGACATTTTCCTATTTGTGGTTGTTCATGCTGCCAGAGACTTTCTTCTGCATATCTTTCAGTGAATATACTTGTGCAATTCTGTGAGGTTTGTGCCTAAGAGTGGAATTAGTGTTCAGAAGGTATATGTATGTTCGATTTTAGTAGATACTGCCAAACAGGTTTTATAAGTGGTTATACCACTTTCTGCTCCACCATCAATATATGATGGTGCCAGTTTTAGTTGCTGCAGATCTTTGACAGTGCTTGGTTTTGTCCATTTTTCATTATAACCATGCTGATGAGTATATACCAGGATCACAGGATGATTTTACTTTGTACTTTTCAGAGGATTAATGAAGCTGAACAGTTGGATATCTTCTCTCATCAAGCATTTATTCATTTATTATATTTTGACTTTTTTAGGTACTTCTGACTTTAATTTAGCAGAGAGAATGTCTTGACTTTATCTCACTTGAATGTATCTGGAGACAGATAAACAATACAGAAATGAAATAAACAGCAGAAGTTAAGCAGCAAGGAAGATACTGAGGAAGAGAAGATGAAAGTAGAATGAATTTATCCTTTTTTTTAAAGCTGGGACTAACAAATTTTAAATAATAGAAGTATTCCTATGTAGAAACTTTTAAGATGAACACATCTGAGGTAGTATCACAGAGTAGAGCTCAGTTGTATTGCTTTTGTAAGAATGAGTGAAGGCCTCAGTAGTCCAAGGAGAAAGAAAGTGATGCAGAAACAACAGTACATGAGTTTAAAAACTCATCACATTGTCATGACAGAGTACAGTTCTCAAAATCAGAAATGATATCAACTTTCATCCCTGAAAACAACAACAAAATTATTGGAAATAGGGTATGGAGTCATACATATCTGGCATGGGAAACACAAACTTTTCTTCTCATTCTGTGAGCACAGGTAGACAGAAGTAAGTACATGTATGGGTATGTTATGATGTACACATAACAGCATGGAAATTACTCAGTACAGTACAAAGTAGGGCAAAGGTTTCAGTTCATATAATGAAAGGCTACTTTCCCTATTATAAAAACAACATCTACAAAAAGATAAAAACATCATAACCTATGACATTTAGGGTGGAGTGTCAACTTGAATGACTTTACAGTATACCTTGGATGTGTCTAGGTGGATCACGGAGGCATGACCTTGGGCTCTTATTTCTGGTCCTTTGCTCCTTCCTCCTCTTCTTCATGGCTGCCATGAACCAAGCAGTTTTGGTCCACCATGTCCTTCTGCCATGATATTTTTGCCTTGGAGCCAGTTGACAGTGGACTGAACTGTCTTAAAATATGAGCCAAACTAAACCTCTCTTCCATTATTAAGTTGTAAGTGTTGGATATTGTGTCCAAAAAGTGGGATTTCGTGGGGGTCATTGCTTGACTGCATCTGATGATGCTGTTTAGAAGTTTTTGGATATATTTTTCAAGTAGAGTTTGGAAAAGTTTGGAGATTTGGGCTAGAGAAACTTCAGAATGCTCTAAACAGAGTCTGATAAGTGATTCTGGTCCAAGCTCAGAAGACCTGAATGCTGATGGGAATGCAGACAATAAAGGCCAGGTTCAGGAGGTTTAAGTTGGGAACAAGGAGTCCATTGGCAGTTGGATTACAGGTCATTTGTGTTAGTCTGGCAGAAAATATGTCTGTATTTCCCCCATGTGCTGAGTCTGTGTGGGAGACTGTGGGAGATTAAGGACAATGGACTAAGATCTGGTGGATGAAATTTCAGAGCAGCACAACATATGGGCTGTGGCATGGCTACTGCTGGTGGCTTTTAGCCAGATTTATAGTGAGAATTGAGGACAGAAAGGCAGAGCAGAAAAATGGAAAAAGTGAAGCTTTGGCCCTAAAGAAACCACATATAAAGTTAGGGCCAAAGAAGGCATGGTTGTTGAAGAGGTTAGCAGCATTGAAAAGAAACCAAGAACTTTGCATGGGGACAAGAAGAAAGGTGCCTCAAGATCATCTTAGAAATTATCAAAACTCTATCCATTGATAGCTCAAAGTTATAAAAGTGTGAATTTTATTTGAGAGGAGAGTCCTTGGGAAATCTGCTTGAGAAGGGCAGCCTAGGGAATTAGTATCTTGGGATTTATTTCACTGTGCTCAGTCATTCAGGGACTTGGAGGCTGCTTTATCTGTGGTCAAAGGGGACCCTCCTATTTATTGAGCTGACGTCCAACCTTAGCATTGCCCACATGATGCTGATTTTACTGGTATGTAAAATGCGAGAGTTGTGGGGCTAGGAAGGCTTTCATCCACGTTTCAAAGGAAGAAGGCCTTGGGAGTCCAGGCAAAGAGAAGGCAGTGTGTGAAGCTGTGGGAATGAAGCCAAAGGTACAGTAGAGACCCCAGGAAGTTGGAGATGGCAGGAAAATAGAACTTCTACTGGGGAAAGCTGCAGTCCAACAAGTTGGAGCCTATTCAAAAGAGAGGCTGTATGGGCTACAACCAGTAAGATCATAGGGGTGGGGCTTCCCAAGCCCTCTGGAACTCATATTTTACTCATTTGTGCCCTGGATGTAAGTGTGGGATAAGGAGCTACAGGACTTAATGTTTCCCCTGATGAATTTTAATCTTGCATTGGTCCATTTGTTTTCTGTCTTCTTCTTCCTCACTTTTGAGACAGGAATGTTTACTCTGTGCCATTGTACCTTGTTTTTTATTTTTACAAAGATTCACAGGTAAGAATTTGCCTTGAGTATCAGAAGAATCTTGAACTTTTGAGAGATGCTGACCTTTTAAGAGCTTGGGGAATAGATTACTGCATTTTTGGTTGTATGTGAGATAGTTGTATTATGTTAGTTGGAATTATTAACTTATTATTGACTTTGGTCATTAACATAATTTGGTCATTAAGTGTGGTTTAAGGAGATGTGTTTGGGTATGAAGTTGACAAGGGGTGGGATGTGGCAGGGTAGAATGTCAACTTGATTATCTTTGGAATCCACCTAGATTATTGGTGGAGCACACTTTTGGGTGTCTCTGGATGGGTCATGGAGATGTGGCCTTGGGATCTATGTCTGGTCCCTTGCACTTTCCTCTCTGGTATTGGCCCCCTACTCTGATTTCCAGTCTTTGAACTGAGCAGCTTTGCTCCACCTTGCCCTTCTGCCATGATGATCCTTCCTTGGAGCCAGTTGATCATGGGCTGAATTACCTTAAATATGATCAAATTAAACCTGTCCTCCATTAAGTTGTGGCTGTGAAATTCATCCCAGCAACAGAAAAGCTGACCAGTACACAACCCAACAGAAAAATGAAGTAAGAATGTGGGTCTCACCACTAAGTGAACACCTGTGCTTTCTATCAGTCAACTCTGCTCTCTGTTGTGCACATAGGTGTGGCGTTTAACAGAACCTAGGAAGATCACCTTGAGGGTGTTTTTTATTTGAGTAGAAGTTGGAAAGTTGAACAGTAATGAAAACTGTGCTGGAGCTTCTGGGTGGGACAACTTGGCAATTAAAAAAGAGTCATACATATGGAAGACTCATGAATCCCCTGCTAAGAATTTATTCTGTTGATACAACTGTGTATACTGTAGGCAGTTGGTACAGTGATAGCCATTGTAGCATTGCTGGTAAAGCAAAAGATTAGAAAAAACTGTAGGTTAACAGGAGAGTACAAACATAAATTATAGCATGTTAATACCATGTGATACTGTATTATTTTAAACTGAATTTTTTATTGTTGATTAAAAAAGCAATATTCAAAGAAGTATTTTTACTGTATGTTTAAAAACACAGCAAAAACATGTTTGCATATGACTAGAATAACTCCAAGTTTACAAACAAACTAGGGAAAGAGTGGTTGCTGGTGGCTAAGAGGGATCTTACCTTGTAGTATTCTTCTGTGATACCTCAGGGAGAAAGGTGGACAGAAAGGGAGCATGCATTCTAACCACTCGGGTCAGAACTGAAATGTTCGGAGTACAGTTGGAGTCAAGGCCTGGTTCCATGTTCCTCTCCTGTCCACCTGTCCCTCTCTTTTCTAACCTGATTTCATGTAAATCTTTATACTCCTGTAGCCTGGATAAGGAAACAGATAGATTGTGGTACAGCCATGCGGGATGCTAAATGCCCTCCAACAGTGAAAATAGTTTCCGTCACATGGTTCACCATGGATGCGTCTCAGAAGCTGTGGTTGAGCAAGACTTAGGCATCTTGCCTTTTGGATTTTGGATTTTCAGCATGTTCACATAGATGAGTCCTTAAGACCTAGGGATTTAGATTGTGTTTGATTTTGTGTTGGTAATGTCACTATGTTACGACTTTTGTTTTTCTGATTTGTATTGCAAATATAGGCTTGTTAGGATGCCCCAGTTTTGAATATTGTGAGATATGTATCCCATGGACTAGAGACTGGGTGACAATTGACACTTTTTGAGTGGATGTTGCATTACTTTTCACCACTAATAGTTTCTGTGGAAATATGTGCTAATTTACTGAATTCATGAGAAAATCCTTATTGCTGTTTATTAGTTGCTGCTATTAATTGCTGCTTTCTTTTGTGATTTAAATTCTAGATTGCCCTCTTAGACTCCCCTACAGCTTTAAGTATGGAGGAAAAACTTCAGCAGAATGAAGCAAGAGTAAGTGTTAGTTTGACTTGTTATTTTAAAATAATTTTTATTTGTACATGTTTGCAGCATGTAATGGTTACATTCGTTGTAGGAAGTTGGTACATGTATATAACCATCTTAATTCTTTTTACTTCTCTTTCCCTTCTCTTATTTTTAAAATCAAAACTTTCACAATTTTCTTTTTTGTTTTGGTGGTACTAGGGGTTGAACTCAGAGCCTTTGCACTAACTACATCCTCATCCCCCACCCCTTTTATAAACCATAGTATTTTTTTGTTAAGATTAGTTCATCATCAGAATTCTCTCCTATACCACCTCTTCTGCTTGTCCAAACATTGTAGCTTCAAAAGTTTCTCTTTTATGTTATGAAAAAATAAAAGTAAATTTCATAATAATATAATAAGAAAATAACAATAGTAATAAATCTTCAAAGTAATTTTTTTGTTTTGTTTTGTTGTTTTTTGTGAGACAGTCTCATGAAGGCACTAAATTGCCCAGGCTTGGCTCTAGCTCTGGTCCTCCTGCCTCAGCCTCCCAGAATGCATCATTATGCCCCACCAAGCACTATATTTTTTTAGGTCCATGCTTTCTAGTCATTCTTTGAGACGTATTTTCTTCTCCTTTAAAATCTTCCTGTTTTAAAATCTCTTGTTTTCAACCTCATGGTCATTTTAAAGATGGACAATAGTTGGCTTTTTATGTACTGTATATGTTGCCTGTGACTTCATAAATGGGATTTGAGTGGCACAGGATGGCCAAGTGTAGTTGAGTTCACGTGGGAAACCTCCTGACCAGGCAGTGAGGCCACTGAGGCTGTTGGAGTAAACAGGAGACCTTGGGCCGGGCAAGAGGCTGTGTGTTCAGCCTTCCTGAGGCAGCAGCAGTCCCCGCAGCTCAGCCATGAGCTCCAGTAGCTCCTTTTCATCTCTTGTTCCCAGTGGGTCACACACCACTCTGGACTGTGAATAATGCAGGTACATGCATAGTTAAGCTGCTCAGCAGGGACAAAGCAGCCCTGTGGTGAATGGGCTGAAGCCAACACTGTATGCTGGGGCATTTTCAAAACCAGTTGTGTGGCTAACCAGGTTCCATACTATTTTAAAAAAACCCAAAAAGCAAAAAATGGTTTTTGGAGAGAGAGAAACAGATATTAAGAACGATTTTTGGCATAAATTTTTTATTCATGATGCTAAATGATTAAAACAATGAGAGAAAAAAACTGAGCCTGTTGGTAAAAACTCAAGAACACACAATATGGAAGATATAAATGGAGTCATAGTTCTGAACGTGTTGACACTTCCCTGGATAATTATGTTAGTTAATATGCTGATAATAGCTTTAGTAAAAACATTAATTTCTTAATCCCTTTTTTTCCTGAAATTGTATAATTTAGTGCTTCAGATTCTAATTTTGAGTGCCATGAAATATCTGGATATAGTCTTAAATTACTTTTCAATTATAGTTTTTAGGAATGCCTAGCAAGTTAATAGAAAGTAGTAAATATTTTAATTTGAATGCATTATACATGCTGTGACAGAAACGACAACTTATCTTGTTTATATCATTTTCTAAATTTTTGTCTAGTTTCTTGCTGACCTTTTAAAATTGTTTGCCATCTGTTTAACTATAAATCTCATATCCAATCATATTGCTAGAGGTGGTATCACATGTGTATTTTTTATTAATGTTTTAAATGAGGCATTCTTTTTAAAAATTCTTTTATTGGTACATTTTAGGTATACAATACATTTACACTTATCATTGGGAGCTTGTACCTGTACATGATGTATCTTGGTTCTTATTTTTTTCCCCATTACCTGTGCACCCTTCAGCCCCTCCACCCTTCCCTATTTACATAGATTTTGTTTCCATTTTTTTTCTTTTCTCTTAATTTTTCCTTTCCCTTCTTTCCTTTCCCCTTCCCCTCCCACCACCCCTACACCTTTGGACGTTTTCCTATTTCAAATTATCAATTATTCGTTTTAATCATTTTAGTCCTAATTTACACTTTCAGTTTCTCACACTAGAGAAACTATTCGGTATTTACATAGGTGTGTCCTATTTATTTCACTTAAGTGTATGGCCTCAATATGCATCCATTTAGCTATAAATGTCTCTAGTTTCTCGTTCTTTATGGCTGAGTAGTACTCCATTTTATAAAAAAAACCACTGACCCAGCTATTCCCCTGCTTGGGTATCTTCCCCAAAGAATTAAAAGAATCACACCACAGCGATATATGTGCACCCATGTTTATAGCGGCACAGTTTGTAATAGCTAAAGCTTGGAAACAGCCCAAGTGCCCATCAGCTGAAAACTGGATAAAGAAAATGAAGCATTCTTGATTTAAATAAAGTGATAAAGTAAGTCCTAGGCATACTTGTAACTTTTAAAGCTAGAATTATTTGACTGAATTGAAAAATGGTTGATTGGTATGCATTGCTTCAGTGAGACTGTATCTGTCAATGAAATACGGAATCATTTGTTGAATGGTTTATATTATTAGAGGATAACTTGCCAATGAGAATCTGTTCACTAGTTAGTATAAATTAGTAAATTCAATATACAGTCTTTTTCCTTTCTGTGGGGAGAAGAAACACAAGTATATCCTCTCTCTGAAAGCTTTTTCAAAATCTCAAGTCCCACTAACCAGGCAACTTTCATTGCTGCTCAGAGCCTGGGATGGGTTTCAGTGAAGGCTTGCAGTGTGAATGGCTTCAGATAAATCAATGTAGTCTTCCAAGGCCTTAGAGACAAGCAAAGTAAAGTCAGAGAGGCTCGTTCTCTCCTGTTTCTTTTTGTCTTACACCAAGAATAGAGTTTGATACTAATAACTAGTAAAAGAAGAATCATCATTATTATTATTTTTTTTAAAACTTAGAACCCCCAGTCCTTCTGGAGCTAAGTTGAGGAGTGAAATGAATAGCCAGTGCATAACTGAGTGTGGGTGGGTGAGATGTGTACTGTGGTTTCTCGCTTGGATAAACTGTTTGTTGTCAGGAGCTCACTTTCTCTAGTCAAGGTTGCCCACACGCTGCCCTGGGAAGCACCTTCCTCTTAGCAGTGGAGGGACAGGCTGTGGTTTCTGTGCCCCTGCTTGGCCTGGTCACACAGGTGCCCATGGAGAACAGGAGGTTCGGGTGGGGTGTTTGCTATCTGCTGCTGGTAGCAGGAGGGCAAGTGGACACAGGCACAGAAAGGTGAAGGCCTGAAAGGACAGGGGCTCCCCTGGCTGAAGCTGCTCTTTCAGCCCTCCATATTTCCTTCCTTCAGAATGCATTTTTCATTTCTGTTTTTTTCCTACCTCTCAATTCAGACATCACTTTATGCTTCTCAACAAATTAATCACTAAGATCATCTAAAAAGTTTTCTGAAACTAGCAGAAAATTTCCATTAAGTTTGAGAAGCAATTTCCAACTGTGCTGTGTTTAACAACTGGGCATATTTTTCCCCTAAGTTACAGGAAAAAGCTGATTTTTATCAAAAGATTTTTTCTTTTACTAAGAGAGTCCATTAAAGAACCACTTTTGAAAAAAATAGAATGAGATTTATAAACCCTATTAATTACTTAAGAAAGCAAATTATCTCCTAAAAGAAAACTGCAACATTGACAATGATTCACCACATCTAATTAGAAAGGAAAGTAAGTCAGTATTTCTTAGGACCTAAAGTATAGTCAGGAAAAATAAAACCGTTTAATGGGACCCTGTCATCCTTGAACTTGTTATTTATTTATTTATTTATTTATTTATTTTGGTATCGGGGATTGAACTCGGGTCCTTGCCCTTGCGCAGCAGGTGGTGAAACCACTGAGCTAAATCCCCGGCCCTGAACTTGTAATTTTAGTTAATAATCCAAAGAAGCAGCTTTTAGTTAAGGATGTCATGAAAAAACTTTTGTGAAATTCTAGGCAACTTGGCAAATTTCTATCAGCTCTTTCCTTTGTCATAACATGGGCTGTAGGATGAAATTAGCTTTTTTTTTTTTTTTTTTGTACCTAGGATTGAACTCGAGACCTTGCGCTCGCGCGTAGAAATTGTAAGTTAATTTAAAAAAAATTATAATACCTCTTTCCACAAGGTTTAAGCATCTGGAAACTTCAATAAGAAAATCATAATAATGTTTTCCATGAAGTGATGGCATGTATATATTTTTCTTTTTAGGTTCAAGAATTGACTAAGGAATGGACAAACAAGTGGAATGAAACCCAAAATATTTTGAAAGTAAGGACTGTAAATAGATATCTTAGATTTACTGTGCTGGCTTAAGTAGGTAAAAGTTTTATTTACTTATTTTAATCAAATGCGACAGTTGTGTGCTTTGCTTAAGGTAAGATCAATGGAACTGATTAATGACTGTGGCTACAGGGAGTTTCTGGCTTGATTTTGAAGAAATGGAAGACAGGCTATTAGACATTAGAGCTACATGTCTTAACGTGCTCAGTTTATGTTGCTGTTTTACTTTTTCCATTTTTGGCTCAGCATGTATTAGGGCGCTATTATTCAAAGCTATCTACTTTGTTTTTCTGCATTTGTTAGAGTCAATATAAAAGCAATATATTAAGTGAATAAAAACTTGTCCTTGACAATATTATAGAATATGCTTGCTTAGCATGGCTGGATGTCAGAAATTTCTAAACCAGTAATTTCCTAGGAATGTATTTTTCTGTGTCTCAAGGACTAGACTGTGATGGTGTGTATTTCTGGCAAGACTCACTGTGAAAAAATGTTGGTAATGGCCTTCACTTTTCATAATCTATACTTCAAAATAAGCGTTTCTTTATATTTCTCTCTCTCTTTCTTTCCTTTTTTTTTCTTACTTGCTAGAAAAGCCTTTATTATCTGTTGAGGGGCAGCCACTCCAGGTTTGAAGTTCAGGTTCCAATTTTGTGCTTTGATGTGGTGTCAGGCTGATTTTATACACAAGAGAAAGAGGTTCAGAAGCTAGAGACTTTCGTGTCTGAGATTTGCTTTTGATGGCCATCAAGGCAGAGCTGCCTTAGAGGATGAAAATCTCCATCTGAGGTTGGGGAGTCTAGTTAGATGAGGTTTACCTGGATGTGTTGGCAGAGCCCTAACTTGGATCTCCTTCACATGAATGTGGCACATCAGTCACTGGTTGGTTCATGGAGACAGACTTGAAGGCCTGAATTAGCTGTTGAGGTCTGCATCTAACACCTGTCTCAAAGAACAGAGTCAGCATTATACTACATAAATTTCACCTCATGTCTTCTATGTGACTTGGACTGCTCTGTGGTCAGAAAGACTATTTTCTCCCGAATCAGAAGTTGTGTTTGGGTTATAGATGGCTGTGAGTTATGATGGTCCTAGGGAGTTACTCTCCAACTACCAAAAGCACTAGGTGAGGGCTTTCACATCCAGATTTTTCTCCTCTCTCTTCCTGGCTGATGAGTATGTCTTACTGTTTTGAGTTACTAGTTCTGTAGTGTTTCCTTTGTTGAGAGATTGTGGTGTGTGGGAGGTGTGGTGGTGTTTCAATTACAGCCTCTCTAAGAGATTGTGTCACAGTGCCTGAAGCCCAGGTTGTTTGCCCTTCCATGGCACAATGTAACTTTCCTCAGGAAGTCTTCCAGAGAGGGAGGCGAATGTCTGGTCCATTTGAGGAAGAAGCCATCACTGATAGTGCTTTGGAAGGTTGTGAGAGTACAGTGTTCTGCAGCCCCAGAGGCACTGCAGTGTCAGTGGAAAGATTTAAGCTGCTGCTCCTACTGCTGTTGCTGCACTGTCTCCCCTTGTCACTGTAGTGGTTTGTGTTGTTGTTTTCTGGTGGTGCTAGGCTGGTACCCAGGCTCTTGCACATGCTTGGCAAGTACTTGGTTAGGAGCTGTGTGCTCAAGTCCATCATTGTAGTTTTACACAGGGCTTTATGATGTCTTTGCAGAGTATCTTCTCTGAAGGTCACAGTGTTCAAACCCCTGAGCTTTTTCTTCTGCTTTTTCTCAAAGATGGTTCTAGGGCTTGGAGCCAAATCCTCCTCCAGTTCCATTTTTCATAAATCTCATTATCTTCATTTCATACAACTTTTTAGATGAAAAGAAAAAAAATATGATGTATGCTAGGCATTAAAGTTTATGAGAAAGGCAACTACTACTTCATATCTCCCTCCTCTCAATCTCACCAGCCCATGTTAGATTTTTCTGCTGGTGTGGTCATTTTCTGCTGTCTTCATCTCTGATTAGAAGGCAGTACCTGTGACTGGGATGAAGGAGAAGGCTACTCAAATGTTTCTTTGGAAAAAATTCTTTAGAAATTGTTCTGCTGTGTGTTCTATCAGTTCATAAATTGTACCAATAATACCCACCCTAACTCACCATCAGCTACCTGTGCTGTGCACGTACATTTCCTGTTTTTGTTATGAGAGTTGGGGTTATTTTATCAACACGCATCACAAGGAGTGGCTTTAGGAATATAGGTGACCCACACCCATGCAAGGGTAGGAATCTAAAGTCAGTGTGTAGGGTGGAGGTCCCTTAACGTCAGGATTACCCTGGAAAGTCTCTTAAATTCATTTGGATATTGCCACATTCTGAGCTCTTGGATGCTCAAAAGCAGGGAGTGACTTTGTTCTCTTCTTTTTATATCTGGTCCATAGCTTCCCTTGCAGTGAGTGAGTGAAGCCTGTGGCCCTGTCCGGTGAGGGCAGAGGGACAGTGACAAGCCTCTGGCTGCAAGTGTGCTTTGCCAATGAGTACTGTGGTTTTTTTTTAGCAGAGGTGCTTTCAGCAGGATGAATTGGTGCCTCTGGCTTTGATCTGAGAAACTCAGAACTTGATCTCAGGCTTCAGCTCCCTTTTCGACTCACTGGGTCATGACACTCATCCATCAGTGTCCCATACCCTGTTCCCAACCTGGACTTCAGGGTGAGTGGCAACCTCCTCCTTACATGCAAGATAGCAGTTTCAGAGACAGTAAGCGTTCAGGGTTGCTTTGGAAGCAGTGGACAGCAGGGCTGTGTTTGTCTTTAGGAAGCAGGTCTTGGGCAGTGGGGAGTGAGGGAGAGTTTTATTATTGTGCCATGTATCTGCCTCTCTTGCCCCTTCATCTACTTTCTTTGTTTTTATTAATCTTCATTTTCTAAACTCCAGAATCTCATGCTGGCCTCTAAAGGCACAGGTCCTCAGTCAGCTGCATCTGACATATCACGGTTCTCTCTGCCCCACCACCCCGTCATTCCCACCCCAACCTGCTGATGGCTCTCTAGCCCCTAGTGCAGGAGGGAATTGGGTGTCTTGGTGTCCTTTGGCCTTCACTAGAGTTGCTCCTTCATTAGGGACACTTTTCCTTTTCTGTCCTCTGTCAGAATCCACCTTGAAGCCCTCAGTCACCCCTTGTCTCCGAGCTTCTCAGAATGGATTTTATTTTTCCCTGTGCTGTTAACAAGCATCTGGCACAATATTGGGAGTCACCTAGGTTAGTAATATTAGTCTCTCCCTCTCTCTGCCAGCATCACACACAGAAAGTAGGCACAGGAGTAGGCCAAGGACTGAATCTTCTTATTGTTCTGTGAGCCCATTCCTCTGACTTGACTCTCATAGAGAGGGCACGCGGTGAAGACTTACAGGGTTACGTTAGTTGCAAGAAACAAAAATGAAAACCTTCATATTAATTCGCTAACCCTACCATAACAAAATATCACAGACTGTGTGTCTTACACATCAGAAACATGTATGCCTGCAGCTGTGGAGGCCAGCAGCCCTAGACCAAGACATTAGCAGGATTGCTTTCTCTTGAGGTCTCTGTCCTTAGCCTCCCCTGTGTCCTCATGTGGCCTTTCCTCCATGTTCTGCATCCCTGAGCTCCCTGTGTGTGCTCATTGACATCACCTCTTCTTAGAAGGACCACAGTTACATTGAACTTGGGCTCACCCTAAGGGCCTCATTTTAACTTAATCACCTCAGTTAATTTTAATTAAAGGTCCTATCTCTAAATACAGTCCCACTCTGAGGCAGTAGGGCTTAGAGCTTCCACATGAATTTTGGGGCCACATAGTTCAGCCCAGAGCAAACCCTGAAGCACGCACATCTGATGGCCCAGTGGGAAAGGTGACACAGGGCAGTGTGGGCATAGTCCTGCCAGGAATGCTCTTGCCTAGGTTTCACAACTTGCTTTCTCCTGCCTCTTTTACAGTCTTTCACAGACTGCATGGTTTATTCTTGAAAGGAGTGTGTTTGGATTCCTCTTGAGGGTAGCCCGTCCTGCATTTGGATCAGTTCCATGCCAGGCTGTTCAGAATGTGGATTGTGGCCCACCAGCATCAGATGTTTCGAGCACTGGTGAGGGGTACAGGCTGAGAGTGCCCACATTATCATAAGCCCCCCACCAGTATGTGCACCAGCAGCTCTGAGCACTGACTTGAATCTGCTGAGCACAGGTGGAGCCGTCCAGGGTCTCTCCTGCTCTGCCCTGTGCTATGGGGGCTGAGCCTTGGGCTGTTCTCCCTGAGACTCCTGCAAGACCAGACTCCCACAGGTGGTTGGAGAGAGCAGCTAACTCCTCCCCTCTGGCTTCACACAGCCTCTCTGTGGCACGTGCTGCTCCTCCATGGCTGTAGGTGTTACAGCCAGCACGGGCCCTTGGTGGCTACAATTCTGCATGGAGACCCAGCCCTGGGCTCCAGAAACTCCCTTCCTGTTTGTGCCTCTTGTCTAGCAGTGATGCTGGGTTCTGGTGTTGTCTGTTTGTGGGTGGCCTCACTGTCTCCATAGTTTTCCACATTTTTCTTTAGCTGAGTAACAGCTTCCCTGTTTTGAAGTCCATGGGTTTAAATTCTGAAGTCCTTTCTGTTTTGTGGTTAAATCTTGTGTGATACCCAAGGCCATACCATCTATTCTCTTGGCTGTGCAGCCAGCCCCATAGGGCCTGGCACGTAAACCTTCTCTGTGTGGGTCAGGCTGTCTGGTCTCCACCTAACTCGCCATCCCTGTTCAATCTTCATCTTGGCTGGATCTACTGTGATTACTCCCCTGGGACCTGAGAGTTGATGTTGAAATAAATCCAGCTTCTACTGGCCTTGGCACCTGGGGTGCCCTGTGACCCTGCGTCTTACTTCTTCTGTGCAACTGCAGAACTGTTTGGACTGTGTGGTATTTGAAGTGATGCGAAATGGGTGCTCAGCATCCCTCCTTTTTATAAGTGCCATGTTCTGCTTTATTACTGATGAATAATTTCAAGTGACCCTTAAAAAGGAGGGATTCCAGAATCCT